GCATTGATTGGGACATTGTTGATGACATGTGTCATGGTGAACAACCTCCTGAGTTGTCGGCAGAAGATCTTGCAGATTTGGACAAACAAGCAATGAAGGAGGAGGTAAGCAAGTTGACAAGCGTGGATGTGGTGAAGGTGGTGAAAGATAGCAGTAGAGATCCAGGTGGAAAGTTCGTTGATCTGAAAATTGGAGGTGCAGGAACGATCGGTGGAAGCGAAGATGCAGAATCGTAGCCCGAGATTTCAAGACAGGGCCAAGTACCTCAGAGACCTTCTCACCAACATCGGCTGGAGGAGCAATTCGTTTCTTTTTGCTATTCCACCTAGTGTTCAGGTGGAAGGTGTCGTCGCTGGATGTGAGCGATGCCTATCTCATGGTGCCTCAGCAGGAAGCTTGCTACGTACAGATTCGTGATTGGATCAAAGAGCTTGTGGGCTTGGCAGCTTTGGGTTTCTTGCAGTGCACCGCAATGCCATCAGTGATGCGCCACAAATCTCGCAAAGTGGTCATCAATATTCATGTTGACGATGAACTGGTGGCAGCTGAGAGTTTGGAAGAGGCTCATTGGTTCATTGGTGAGCTGAAGAAGAAGTTCAAAGTGCAGGTCGAAGGACCATTTCCACAGAGGGTCCACAGGAGCTGGTGAAGAGCTGAGTTATTTGAAAAAGACGTATGTGTTCACTGGCGAGGGTATTTTGCTAAAACCCAACAAGAAGTACATTGAGAGTTTGTTGAAACTATACGATGTTGGCAATCGTAAGTCCAAACAGGTGCCAGAGCATAGCTTGCTAGGACAGGTGGACTTTTCAGAAGAACTTGATCAGCAGAAGCAATCGTTGTTCAGGAGCGGATTGGGCGTTGCCATGTATTTAGCACAAACAAGACAGAATTGACATCCAATGCTGCGTGAAGACATTGGCAAGTTCGATGAAGTGTCCAACGCAGCAGGCAGAGAAAACATTGATACAGTTGATTTTGTATCTAGCTGGTGCAAGAGATTGGGTGTTCAAGTTGCCATATGTTGAAGCAGGAACGAGCTTGGCAAGGATTTTGAACACAGGTCAAACAAACGAAGGTTCGAACACATGCCAGAAGAGACATTGAAAGCACAGATCCAAAGGATCTTGCAGGTTGACTCGGAGCAAAGCAAACAGGAGTATTTCAGGTTGCCATGGCATTGAGTGTTTTCGGCATGAAGGGTTGCGTGGACAACGATGAACAGCAACCAGTTGAAAGCAACGAGAACAGTTGACAGCAGTTTGCATTGACTATGGTTGTACTAGCAATCATTGCATTGTGTAACTTTGTTGTCTCGCATTGGGATGTGTTGCAGACATTGTTGCAGGCGATGTTGGACAGGCGGGGCAGAAAGAGAAAAAGAGATGTTGAGAGACAAGATGAGAGACAAGAACAGGAGGCTGGAGAGCAACAGGAATCTTCAGATGTTGAGGTTGAAGAGCTAGAAGTTGAAGGACAGGCAAGTGCAAGCTCAGACCCCACCAAGGGACTACCGCCGCGAGCACCAAAGTTCTCGCCAATACCAATAGACCCACCTCCACGGTGGGATCCTTGGTCTCCGGAGTGGTTTCTATACTTTATGTTGGGAAGGGTCAACAGAAGATTGCAACGTCGGTGACAGGTGGATCGCAATACATTGCTCAGGTACAACCATCGACGTGACATTTTGGAGATGCAGCTAGGTATCCTTGAGCAAAACCACAGTGAAGGAGTTCGCAGGAGGGCGCATATGATGTGCCGTGGCATGACCTATTTGTCACCCGATTCACAATCATCGGGTGGACCGGAGATTGCAGAAGAAGAAGAACCAGAAAATGAAAGCATTGTGGCACAGCAGCAGGCTGGAGGAACAGCATCTAGCAGTCATACAGGGCAGACAGGTGGAGATGCGCAGTTCAGAGAAGAGCTCGATTCAGGTGATGGATATTTTACCTCATCAAGTTTGCCAGGGCGAAGTTTGGAAATGCCCTCGGCAGGACAAGATCAGCAAAACGATGAGGAGGACGATGACGCAGAAATCGAGGACAGCGAAACAGAGCCACACAGAAGAATGAGATACATTTATTCGAGCATTGGAGAAGTGAGCGACCCGGAGTATTGGCAAGAGCTACATCATTTTAGCAGCGATGATGATGACGGAGCAAGCAATTCGAACAGGGATGATGACAATTGATTTACAGATTTTCAACTTTACAATACATTTCTTTTGGTGGTGAGTTGAGTGGCCTGTGAAACCGTCTGAACCACAGGACCATTCATTGTTCAATACCGTGAAACCATCTGAACCACGGTATAGGTGCACAACGAATGAATTTGTTGACAGATGCATGGAATACAATTTTGACGGACAGAGGAAGATACGTGAACCAACTGAACCACGTATCGGGAGAAAAAATTGGCAAAACTCATTGGTAGAAATTGTATCGAAAGATACCGGAACGGGAGCTACAAAATGTAGCAGTACAAAGAAAGGTAGATGACCTTGTCTGTGATCACCTAGAAGATGGTGATATCTACCTATAGCGTGATTCAGTTTGTCAAGTTTCAAGGCGGGGTGTTGACCATTTTTACATCCCGGTATGCACATAGATGTGACATGTATAGAGTGGATTGAAGTCACTTGTGTAGTATCTGTTCTTACCACCTTGAAGCGTTCATGTTCAAGAGAAAAGAAGTTGCTGCCTAACAAGAGTGCAGTTGCTTTCTCAGAAGAGCGAAGGGTGTTTTGAGTTTGTCTCGCATGTGTGCTCCTTTACCCTCAATAGTGCGCAGTTCGTTGATCCATCGAAACTGGAAATGAGGTCACAAGGACAACACGTACATCAACCCTGCTTCCGGGAGCCCAGCCAGTTTCAGGCCCGATAGTTCGCGGGGCTCAAAGCGCATGCGCCCATGTAGTGGACAGCTCGCAGTAAAACGACCGCATGCACACTAGACACATGTGGAATAGAAAGTTTGTTGTAAATAGATGAGATAGAATTGGAAGGCTGGTAGGATGGGGTGTTAGCTTTGAACGACTGTAACAGTTTTTTTGCAACAAACATGGAACATCACCATTCATTATGGTGAGGGGGGTAGGCAAAAACTTTAGATGGCTGTGCAGTCCCAATATACAACCGACCACTCCACGGGGAGCTTCGCTGCCGCAGAGTAGGGGTATATAATCATATATCCTCATCAGTAGCCCGATCAGTGCGGACCGTTGATTTCCGGTTGTCAATCTTTGATCAAGGTACAAACTGTTGAGAGGGACGCGCAAAAGTTCGTGCTACGCCGCTACGCGGAGTTTCGTGCTTAGGAAGAGATGTTTGGGGGCGTGACTGCTAATGACTGCTTGCAGAGAAGCGAAGTCAGTTGCTCGATGCGCAAAAAGCACACTCAGATGAATTGCTGGCTAGAGGTCCAGGATTCTGACGGCTGCTGCAATTTACTCGGCCTGCCCAAGCAGGCGATTTGCCTCAGAACTATCATATGCACCTATAATTGCATGCAGTGTTCACCTTTTGCATCGAACAATGTTGAAAACCTTTTGCAAAATATAACATGTTGCGAAAACGATCGTGTTCCACCATGTTCCAAAGAGCCGTCCGTCCTCCCTTGCCACACGTATCATGTAACTTGTAAAAGGCACAACACCAGGACCTCAGCTTGGCGCAGATCATCAACCAAAAACACTTCCTGGGTACACGATAGTGCATGGTTGTTGGCCACGAGATTCATCACACTGATGGGGCTTTAGTTTGATTTATACCCAACGACGTGCGGGCACGGTGTTCTGTGCGACGCATTGCTCCGTGGCCGCGGGGTGCACGGCACGCGGCACAGTGGCGATGGAGGATGGTCTCCAAGTCACTCCACAGCTGGCGAAGCAACATGGTGTGAAAGGGAGTGGACAGGGATTGCGGATGGCGGATATTCCTGGGCCAAACGGATTGATTCATCCTGTTTGGACTTACATCTGGGATTTTGTGCTATAGCATATAACATGGAGATGTTGGAATGTACAGTGCGTCAAAATCTGTTTATTTCCGGCCAAAAGATTCCCCTTCAACATTGGTTTGGAACCTGAAAGAGACCTGGAACAGCCCTGCACTCGGTTGAAAATCAATCGTTTATACGTTATATATAGGTTCCAAACAAATCTTGATTTGTCCAGTGGAACTGATTTTTTTTGGTTGAGTTCCTGCCTTTTTTCAGCATCAAGATGGTGGTTTCTGACCACCCAAACAAGAGGAGTTCTGAGTTTTGTTTTGTTTTGGGGCAGGATTGCACAAACTAGATTCTAGATATAGGCCTATGTGTTTCCCATGACCTGTAACAGTCAATAAAGGGTTATAAAAAAGAGATGTCGGCCAACGCGCCCCATCATCATCCACTGGGCCCAGGGTGTTTGGGATACACCCAAGACATATAGGTCTATATATTTTAGTGTTCTGGATTCCGAGGCATCGACGTTGAGTGTGTGCTGCTCAAAACGAAACCTTAAAATATATACGCGTTCCGTTCTGGTTGCGAATGCCTTGGCGAACTGGGTGAGCAAGCCTTGGCGAACTGGGTGAAAAAACCGTTGAACGTTGGGGAATGCATTGTCAAGATGCATGCGTCGATGGTCGCAACAGGTTCGGTAGGTCCCCTTCTTCATACCACCTGGCTCCCCGTGCACGCACTTGTCACAACAGCGGTCCACGCCTGGAACCGAAAAGGGGACATGCGGGGTGGGTCGGACATTTTTCAGGCAAGGAACCTTCAAAGGCTACTTATGGTACTACCTATGGTACTATGGTACTATAGGCTACTTGTGGTACTATGGTACTATAGGCTACTTATGGTACTATGGTACTGTAGGTGGACAAAGTTTGGACAACTCGATGCTATCACTGTTTGGTGGTCGAATTCTCCGGACCTATCCCAGATCTGGCTGGCCGGGAGGAAGTTTCAATACCAAAGAACCAACGCAATGGGGGCTTTGGAGCGAAGATGAAGCAGTTTCTGCTGTACTCCAGATCATGCCAGATGTTCAGCGCTCGACGTGATATCCTGTGTTTCTCAATTGATGCAAAGAACGTGGGCCCCGTTCTGACTGTCAGCTGCAGAACAACTGGACCCCCCCTGCAGCTTCTTGACACTTCTTGGTGCAATTCCTCTGATAGGACAAGCACAGTTCTCGGTGCCTCCTCCCTTCATCTCAGAGATGTCAGGCCGGCCTAGCGCTTCCTGTTTGGGTCTCCGACCGCCCCACAACCGGGCGCTTCCCACTCGGCTCGGAACCGGGCTCGGAACCGTCTTTCATGGATCGGGTGAGGGGAGGTGTTAACCGCCCAGGTCTCCGTTCCGACGTGTTTCCCGACCCGAACTCCTGAACCTGAACTCCAGAACTAGCCGAAAACCTGAACCAGCCGGAGGAATCGAACCACGAAGGAAACTGGGAGGTCGCCCAGCCAGCGGAGACACACACAGCCCGAGGTTCGATCGTTCAG